GACAGTTGGCCCAAAAGGGCTACAATTTGCTACTCATTAGTCGTAATCAAAGCAAATTAGATAAAGTCAAAGAGGATATCGAGACCAAAAACACCGACTGCTCGGTCCGTGTGTTGGCCCTCGACTTCAGCCGACACGACATCTACGACACCATTGACGAGGAGTTTAGCAAATTGGGACAAATTCACATCTTGGTCAACAACGTGGGTATGATATATCCGGATGAAAAACCCGAATACATGTGCGATATACCTGACCTGAACAAGTTTGTTAGCGATATACTGAACGTGAACGTGGGCGCCTGTACCAAACTGACCGCGATGGTTTTGCCACGAATGCTGGCCAATGGCAGCGGCGCCATCATTAACCTGTCGTCGGCGTCGGCCATAACACCGATACCACTGCTAACGCTATACTCGGCCACCAAAGTCTATATCGACTACTTTTCACGAGCCCTACACGAAGAGTACAGTAGCCGCGGGATCGTTGTCCAGTGTGTGTTACCCTGTTTTGTGTCCACAAACATGTCGTACAACATCGACACCAACCTCTTCGTGCCCTCCCCTCCCGTCTACGTGAAGAGCGCCCTAAAAACGGTGGGCAAAGAGTCGCGAACTCCGGGCTATTTCTCGCACCGGTGGCAGAGTTTTACGATCTTCTGGTGCGCCGTTTGGCAGGAGTTTTTGGGCGTCAATACACTCATTAGGTTTCATTATTTTCGGCTCAAAAATATCAGGAAAAGGATTTACACGAAAGAGGAGGCCATGGGTTTGAAGGGAAAGGTCGACGAAGAGAGAGTGGTTCTTGATATACACGACTGATTGGCTCATTATGGTTAAAATTATGCCTATTTATTAATTGTTTTAATTAATATGATATTAATTCAATGCTCATTATATTATTTAAATATATAAAACCCCATTTGTATTAAATTATTATATTTTTTGATTTGTATTTTATTGTTTCTTTGATAAATAGGTTTTGTGTTTGATTTTGTGTTAGCGATAGTTTAGTTTGTTTTGTGTTTTTCATGTGGTTTTCACTTTATATTTGTTTTGCCCATAATTTTAGTCAAATTTTGTTATAAAATTTTTGAAAAGAAGAGAACGAATAAAATTTGAATTTTAAGTTGACATTAAAAAACAAAAATACTTATCAATCGATTGAATAATTAATTTTTCTCAGAAGTGAATCACAAGTCCTTACGAAACAACGAGGAAAATGTGACCAAAATATTGAAACAATTAATTATGTGTTAATAATTTTACAGTTAAATGCTTTATTTTTTTGGTTACATAATTACTTAATCTATTATTATGTTTACATTTTTATTCAAACTTATAATTAAATATATAAATAGATATAAATTATTTATGGTTTTGCTTGATATCCATCAATAAGTGATGAAATGATTGCAAAACTAACGCTTGGGATCACATCAGAGATCAGTTTCCAACTCTCTCTTCGACGACATTCTTCTGACGTGAAGATGCGGTGAGTCTTTCAATATATCGATGCCATCATTTCGTAACCATTTGCGCGGATCTACTCTTAGATTAACGAATTGAACCAAAATCTCTTCGATCGTCAGCTGATCCTCACCGCCGATGCCCTCAATATGTTTTCGCATTGAGACAAACGCTTTGGGATACTCGGAGCCCACCCTGTCTTCAGCGCATATCACCGCCGCCTCCCTCACCGCCCGGTGTCTCAGCAGTACTGACACCAACTCCTCGGTCGACACCATATAATCTGTGCATTCATTTGTATAGATTTTTAATATAGATTTTTCACTTCAATTTAAAAGCAATTATTTATTTTTGGGAAAATTAATTGAAATTATTTTTAAGGAAAATGTTTATTTTATGAATTTTAATTTATTGCTTCAATTTATTGAATATTTCATCGGAATTATAGCTAATAATAATCTGTAGTTTGATATAAAAATTATTTTAGTAATTATCAAAAGTTTTGCAATTAATTTTCTCCCAATCGCCTCAAAGAGTTAATACAAATTGTCATTAAAAATGCAAAATTGCTTTCCAGGCTTTCATTGCGTTTATGCCTACATTTAAATGTAATATTTTTAGCGATAAAAGTGGTATTTATTATCTAATAAAATAAATATAACTTTATATTTTATTTAATTTTTTTAGCCCAAAGGGTATAACATCTAACTGTATATAATAGACTAATATTAAAAGTACATACAGTATATAATGTGATGCTTTAGCACAAAAGCTATAATTCAAACAATTTTTAATATAAAACTCTCTCTCACTCTCTCTCTCTCTCTCTCTCTC